CAACAGTTGCAAACATTCATTAATAATTAAATATGAATTGTATGAAGTATGAATCTAAGAAAATTGGAAGTTGTCACAAATCAAATGGAATGCATAAAGATCAATATCCTGGGCATTAGTGAGCTGAAATAGACTGCTATTGATTGGTCAACTTGAATCTGATACTCATATGGCTTATTAGGCAGGAACAACAAATTGAAGAGGTACAGGGTTGCATTCATCATCAAAAAAAATTTCAAGAACATTTCAATGTATCTCTCTGGAAATATAATGCTGTCTGTGATAGGGCAATATCCATATGTCTGTAAGGAAGACAAGTTAATATGACTGTTATTCAAATTTATGCACCAATCACTAAAACTAATATTGATACAACTTAGGAATTCCACCAACTTCTTCAGTCTGAAATTGATCAAACATGCAATCAAGATGTATTGATAATTACTGGTATTGGAATACAAAGGTTGGAAACAAAGAGGAAGGATCAGTACTTGGAAAACAGGGCTTTGGTGATAGAAACAATGATGGAGATCACACAATAGAAATTTGCAAAACCAATGACTTCTTCACTGCAAGTACCTTTGTTAAACAACATATAAGATGACTATACGCGTGGACCTCACCAGATGGAATACACAGAAATCAGAATGACTACATCTTTGGAAAGAGATGGTGGAAAAGCTTCATTATCACCAGCCAAAACAAGGCCAGAGGCAGGCTGTGGAAAAGACCATCAGTTGTTTGTATGCAAGTTCAGGCTGAAGCTGAAGAAAATTAAAACAAGTCCACTAGAGCCAAACAAGACCTTGAATATAAACCACCTGAGTTTGGGATATTTTTGACACACTGAACACTGATGACCAGATTAGTTACAGGATGACATGATGAACATCATATATGAAGAAAGCAAAAGGTCATTAAAAAGACAGGAAAAGAAGAAAAGACCAACATGGATCTAAGAAAAGACTCTAAAACTTACTCTTGAATATAGTCATGTCAAAGAGATTGGGAGAAATGATGACGTTAAAGAGCTGAGTAGAAAATTTCAAAGGGCATCTCGAGAAGATAAAGTCAAATATTATAATGAAATGTGCAAAGACCTGGAGTTAAGAAACCAAAAGAGACAAACACATTCAGCATCTCAAGCTAGGTACATATTTGTGCCTATTCCAAAAAAAAAGGTGACCCCACAGAATGTGGGATCTAGGCCTACAGCAGAGAATACCAGAAGGATGTTTACTTTTGTTTTATTAACTGTATGGATCATAACAGATTATGTGAGGAATGGCAATTCCAGAACACTCCATCGTGCTCATGAGGAACCTGTACATAGACCAAGAGGCAGTCATTAGAACAGAATAAAGGGACACCGAATGATTTAAAATCAGGAAAGGTGTGTGCCAGGGTTGAATCCTTTCACCATACTTATTCAATCAGTATGTTGAGCAAATAATCCAAGAAGCTGAATTATATGAAAAAAAAATGTGGCATCAGGTTTGGAGGAAGACTCAT